AATCATGAGATAGTGTCCTTCTTTATCTGTGCTGCTGGGTTTTGCTTTAATGTTTATTTTATCAGAGATTAGTATTGCCACTCCTGCTTGTTTTTTTACTGCTGTTAGCTTGGTATTTTGGTTATGAATTGGGCTGCTAACCTGAGGATCAGCAGTTCGAAACTACCAGCTGTTCTGTGGGAGAAAGATGAGGCTTTCTGCTCCCGTAAAGATTTACAGCCTCAGAAACCCTGTACAGGGTCGCTATGAGTCGGAACCGACTCCACGGCACATAACAACAACAGCAAGCTTGGTATATATTTTTCCATCCTTTAACTTTTAGTCTGTTTTTGTCTTTGTGTGTAAGATGTGTCTCTAGTAGGTAGCATATTGAAGGGTCTTGTTTTCTTATCCATTATCTCTGTCTTTTCACTGGTGCATTTAATCCATTGACATTCAGTGTAATTTTTGATAGGTATGGATTAACTGCTGTCATTATTTAATTTTTTTTGATGCTGTTTGTTCCTTTATTCTGCATGTCTTCTTATGTTGCGTTCATGTTTTTGGTGCTATTTTTTGTTGGTTTCTTCTTAGTTTTAATGTTTCCTTGTTCTTCTTGGATCTTCATTTTCATGGTAATTTATGAAGTATTAATTTTCTTTGGGGTTACCCTATAGTCTGTTACGTTTTCCCTGTGTTTAAGACAATCTATTGTATCCTGACATATACTCGATCTCTTCACCACCTGAATCTCTGTTCGTATATTTTTTCCTTCTTTGACATTGTTAGTATTTTGATCTTTGGTTGACCTTACAGGTTCTCTGAATTTATTGCTGTAATTTTGTTCTGTTCTGAATTCTGCTATCTGTCTACTGAGTCCCAGGTGGTGTTGCCATGTCTTTCAATCCCTGGTTGTTGTCTGTTCTTGCTGTTTTTCATTCCAAAGAACTCCCTTTAGGATATTTTGAAGTGCTGGATTGGCTTTATCAAAATCTCTTAGCCTCTGTTTATCCTGCAATGTTTTGATTGCACCATTGTATTTGATTGACAGTTTAGCTGGATAGACGATTATTGGTTGGCAGTTTTTTTTCTTTTAGGGTTTTATATATGTCTCCCCATTGCCTTCTTGCCTGCATGATTTCTGCTGAAAAGTCAGAGCTGAATCTGATTTGCTTGCCTTTGTAGGTAACACTTCTCTTTTCCCTGGCTGCTTTTAGGAGTCTCTCCTTGTCTTTGATTTGGGAGAGCTTGATTATGGTATGTCTAGTTGATTTTCTTTTGAGGTCTATCCTTCCTGGGGTTCGTTCAGCTTCTTGAATGTTTATCTTCTCATCCTTTAAGATGTTAGGAAATTTTTCTTCCATAAGTTCTTTAACTATCTCTCCTGTGGATTTCTGTGATTCTTCCTGTTTTGGAATGCCAATAATTCTTAAGTTATTCCTCTTTATGTTATCCAACATTAATCTTAGACTTTTTTCAGATTTTTTAATCCTTTTTTCTGCTTGCTCATCTATCTTAGCAGTATTGAGAGATATGTCTTCCAGCTCATTGGTTCTGGCTTCCATCTCTTCGATTCTATTCCTCTGCCCTTTCAATGTATTGTCTATGTCTGATATTTCATTATTTTTCATCAGGACTTCTTTTTGCAGGTTTTGGATTGTTTCCAATACTGTATCTATCTTGTTAGATTGATCCTGTAACACTTTCCTGACTTCTTCTTTATTTTCTTTCACCCCTTTTCGGAGCTGTTGAATTTGTTTCCATATCATTCTTCTGAATTCCTTCTCAGGCAGATCCAGAGCCTGCTCTTCTACTGGAAAGTCTGTGCCTGCTTCCAGTTCATTTGTCTCTGTTACTTTTTTTCTGGTTTTGGACATGCGTTGAGATCTTTAATTGTGTTTTCTTGGACATGTTCAGCAGTTATTTGGGGTTTTAATGCTTAAATGTATGTATGTTGCTTTGTTGTTAAGCTTGCTGAGTGTCTCCTGGTGGATATGATCTGGAGATAGGCTTCCATTTTTACATGTAATGCCTAGCAGCTGATTTTGGCTTTGTCCAGATGGTGGGGTATTACAAGGTATGTTTGTAGCTTGTCTATATGGGCACAGTTACTGTCTCTTCTTGGGTAAGGGTGTTGTTGTTAAGTGCCATCAAGTCGGTTCCGACCCATAGCAACCCTGTACAGGGTTTTCGAGGCTGTAAATCTTTACAGTAGCAGAAAGCCTCATCTTTCTCCCACAGAACAGCTGGTAGTTCGAACTGCTGACTTTGCAGTTTGCAGCCCGATTCGTAAACACTATGGGTAAGGTAGGGGGAGAAATGTTCAACCCCTGGGAGAAATGTGAGGCCAAAAGGACCAAAGACAGAAACAATGTAAAAGCAGAGACAGAAACTACCAATCAAAAACAAAATTAAAATTGTGACTGATACTGTCCACTGGCCTTTGCTGTGCAGGCAGGGATAAAGGGTCCCACCCAGGTCAACTTGGGGCTGGTTCCCAGAGTCAGAAGTCATAAGAAGCAGCCTGCGGGTTTCCTCTCTGTGCTGTTGGAAAACTGTGGGTACAATGTTGGACCCTCTTGGGGGTATGCTCTTGCCTGCCTGAAGACGTCTGGGCTGGGCAGTGAGGGCATGATCGGAGTGAAGAGGAACGATACGTGAAAAATGAAAAGTGAAAGATGAAAAATTGGTCACACCTCTACCTCCAGACGTGAAGCTCTGCGGCTTCTAGTGCTGAGTCACTGTGTCCACTTGGCTGTGGCCCCACCCTCTGGCCTGAGGACTTCTGGCTGCTGGCTGCTGCAGCTGTATCAATTCAAAAATCACTGTATTTTGCTTCCCCAGGCGGATTTCTTCACAGGTGTGCGCAGGAAACTGGAGCCCGGATTCTTAAACAAGATCCTAAGCTCCACAGCTGTTCTACGGACCACTCTTTCTCTACCTTTTTTTGGTTTTAGCAGAGTAACTTTCAGTATCTGTCCTAGAGATTATTATTTTTGAAAAGTTATTTTGTGTGGTAAAATTACTCGTCAATGATAATTTCTTCAGTCATAGATTTCCTGAACTTGCATTGCAAAATTTAGCTCTCAGCTTTCCTTCCTTTTGCCGAACATAATTTAGTGTTTAAATTTACAAATTCTTTGCTGAACAAACCAAACCATACAGTGTCTGAATAATGTGTTCTTGATAAAGGGCAGAATGGATTCTCTTAAAGAATACGATTGGTGGGTCGTTGACCTGGCCAGGATGATTTTAAATTAAAATTTGAGAGGAGGAGGAAATACTCTGATAAAACCATAAAACTGGGTGTCATGAAAGGCAGTGGCTGTAACAGAGGAGGGCCAGAGATAAAACTTAGGGATTCAGATATCTATGGCACAGAGATGGTGTAAAACTACAATTTAATTGCTGTGTGCCATTGCATTGGTTCCTACACATAGTGACCCTGTATAGGATTTCCAGTGAGCAGCTGGTGGGTTTGAACCACTGACCCTGTGGTTGCCAGTCCAGTGCTTATCCTACAGCACCACATCAGGACTTCTAAATTCTAATAGAAGAAGACAAACGTAGTTTCTAATGATATGTTGTTGTTAAGTGCTGTCGAGTTGGTTCCAACTCATAGCAACCCTGTACATCATTCCACAGTGCCACACCAGGACTCCTACATTATATATAATTGTAATATATTCTGAAGTATTCCTGCAACTTGTTGAGAAAGTAATTGTATCTGTAATATAATGCTGGATGAGTACATTTTATTAAATAGAACTAGATGTAATTTAAGAAACAGGGAAATAATTCTAAATCAAGAAGAGATCTCCGAAGGAATTCTTTAAACCAAATAGTGAAAAGCGTTGGTTGGGCTTTTGGGTAAAGGTGAATGGAAAGAGAAGCAGAAATTCTGCCTTTTTAGAAAGATTCTACAATCTACCCAAATAGGAAGATATATGCAAATGCTCATCCCTTTAAGAAAGGGCCATATCTTTCTCACTTTTGTTGTTGTTGTTGTTAAGTATCATTGAGTCAGTTCTGACCCATAGCAACCCTGTACAGGGTTTCCGAGGAGCGGCTGGTGAGCTTGAACCACCACCCTTGCAGTTCAAACAGATTTACAGTCTGGCGCATTAACCCACAGCGCCACACCAGGACGCCTATGCAAAAAGCACAAAAAACACGAACACATTGTTAACCAGTTACCATCTTGTTGACTCCTAATCATGGTGGCACCCTGTGTGTCAGAGCAGGGCTGGGCTCTGTAGTGTGTTCAATGGTTGATTAAAAAAAAAAAAAATCATCACATCTTTTTTTCCAAGGTGCTTCTGGGTAGATTCAAACTCCCAACTTTTCAGCTAGCAGTCAAGCAAGGTAACCATTTGTACCACCTTTCCAGTGCTTGATCACCTTGAAAGGTGAGAGAGGGAAGAAAAGAGGATTGTGTACACCTCTGAGAATCTATCAGCCAGTTGTGGAGTCTGGTGCAACAGTTGATCACAAATTTCCCCTGTTGGGTGGGTACACTGTGTCTGATTCCCCAAGCCTTGCAGCTGTTGATGGGGCTCTACTGCATCACTGCAGTGAACATGAGGTGTGGGAGCTGGGCTAGCAGCTACTCACATGCCTTGCCCTGGGTTTTGTCTTGAACGGAGATCTCAGCAGTACACGTTCATGGTGGGCACAAAACCCAAGCCATCTTTTTCTTTTCCAGGCTCTGATGCTTCTGCTGGTAATTTACTGGGGAAATGAAGCATGCTTACTTGAGATGTAATGTGCCTTTGCTTCTGTTGCTTGACTCTACATTCATTGCTTTAAGTCTCTCAGCTTCCATTTCATCTCATTTCCCTTCTCCCCCGCAGATACCAAATGCACAAATTGAATGATTCCATCTTTGTTTATATATTGTTTAAAATTTCACAAAAATCAAATACCTCTTTTCAGGATGTGATGGCAAAATAAGACAACGAAGTGCTCTGTGAAGATGTGAGTGTTAATAAAGTCGAGAATGTTTTGTGTTAACCCTCTAGTATGGCGTCAAGAAGAATGCGCGCGCATTGACCAGCTTTTCACTGGAGCTGAAAGGAAAGCACACTTATGTGAACTTCTGGAGAAAGAGTCTCAGATCATTGCTTCCATCGGGAGACATAGAGTCATCGCAGGCCAGGAGAACCAGGAAACATCGATACAAACTTTTTTGGATAAGGTGAGTGAACTAATAATGATTTAAATTTGGTTGTATCTTGAGTTTTAAAATCTAGAATAATGAACCTAAAGAAGAGACTGATATCATAAGAACTTGCGTGAATTGTGTTTCCCATTTTGGTGACAAATTGATTTAAATTTGATGTTTTTCACCTCCTGTCTTCTTTACAATAAAGATTGACAAGGAACATGGCATTAATACATTCTTAACTAAAGGAATTCAGCCAGGAAAGAAAAGTCTGAGACATGTGCCTTATGACTCTGTCCATTTAGATTTAGGCTGGCTCCACAAAGTGACCAGTTCATATCCTCTAAGAAAATGCAGAGTATTAAAGTCACAAAACATCTGGGCCCATGGTGCCAGGATAGCAACTAACACAGGGGACACAGCTAGAGATTCATGCTCTTGCCTTTTGTTTTTACCAGGTCATTTACTGACTGGAAACTTCTGACCAAAAGGGTCTGGGATTATTGAAAACCATGAACATATACAATTAAGAGAAAAACTAAATTTCACCCTTTTGTGGTGAAATTGCTTGTTTCATATTGAAGAGCCTGTTTCCATAGTGACTAGTTTCCTTTTACAAACCTAATCTGTCCAAACAATTAAAAGCCAATCCATTCAAAAACAGAGAAGGGAGGCAGCTCTACAATTAACCTACGATGATGATGCTGGTTCTATAGTTCTTACCTGAAAACATTAGCCTGCAATGCTTCCAGTTCCGTAGTTCATGTTATCTGAAAACATTTTTTCTTCTTTTCTTTTATTTTATTGTGAACTCAGTGATAGTTTACATGGGAGAACGTCAGCTTTATACCATTGTTTCATTGCAATGATTTCAATCTCCTCCATGCATCATTATTCAACAGTATTTGCTTTCATTCCCTCTGTTTTTCTTTATTCTTTTCTTTCTTTTTTCTTGGAGGGGTGGGGTGGGGAGATGTACACAAAAACAACCAGGAATGTATAAGAATTTAAACAACCAAAGGGCACATATTACAAGCCTGCCTCCTGGCTGCCAGCTCTCAGTCCCTCTCTTTCCATGAATCTAGAGTTGTCAGCTGCTCCCTCTCTTCATGTCCTCATCTCTGCCTCCATCTCTGGTGTCGCTGCTTCTCTGGATAAGGTCCCACATTCTGCTTGCGTTCTCCCTTGATGGTCCTGGTGTCCTCTGTTTCTGGACTGTAAGATTAACTACTCTCCCGTTTTTGTTACAAAATGTCTACCTTTACAGCTGTGACAGCCACAATTAGTCATGATAATAATTACTATTGAATCATAAGAATCTTATCTCCATCTCTTTTCACCAGACCCATCTAGACAAGATGAAAACTATTCAGTAGGGACTCTGTCTTCCCCCACATACTCTTAAACTAAACTCCCTCTTGAAACCTTGTAAGTCAGTCACTTCGTGCCTTTATTGCCTCCTCATTTTAGGTAGCCAACGTCGAGGTTGCCTTGTCCCTATCTACCCTGTATACGGAGGGGATAAAATTGTTACTTGATGTGAAGTATTTTGAGCTACTACATCCATAAGTATATGTCAGGTTCATCATATTGTAGCAATTTACCCTCGTTTCCTTTATCAAAAAATTAAAAAAAAAAAATCTTCTTCTAGTTGAGTTCTAATTTATCAAGCCATCGAGGCTAGGTCAAATGAGTACTATCTGTAAGTTTGGGTGTTCTTGTGAGTCTCCCCTCACTTCATACTAGCTGGATGCTTCACTTTCAGCTCTACCCCTCCTTGGCTATGTCCTTGTCCATGGGCTCAGGAGTCCCCAGATCTCACCACACTTTGGACCAACCAGCCCCTCCTCTTCTGTCTCTCATCTCCAGGTCAATGGGAGTCTATGGAATGTGGTTGAACTCAGCCCATTTATTCATTGCTGCTTTTCCCCTTCTTCAACTCTCCAGTAGACCAATGTGGTTGCCAGCAAGCTTACATGCCTGCTCATGTATTCCCTTTGAGTTGCAATCTTAGAGGAGGGATTGCCCTGAATGGTCTTGATTGTTTACCTTGATGGCGTCTCAGTGAATAATTTGCTTATTCTTGTAGCAGCCAATCATACTGCCATTGAAAACATTTCTTCTGTTTTGATGCTGTAAATGCCACCTCTTATCTTACTTATATACTTGTCTATGTAATTGCATTGTTTTCAGTAACTTTAACTACCTTCATTATAGAACTATGTACGGCTCCAGGCAAGACCTTTCTTGAAAACCACTGTCACTGACTGAGTCCATTCCAACTCGCATTGTGACCCTGTGGGACTGTTCTCTCATAGTGACCCTGTGGGACTGTTCC